CGTGTGCTCTTCCGATCTGTGCGATATTGACGTAGTAGTGTGTGGTGATGTGTTCATGTTTACTATTATATCGATATCGCACGCACACATCGTAACAAATTTTCAAGAACATACATCTTTTTTATTAGGCATCCAAGCCTAATGAACTCAACATTGCACATATAATTCGTAATTCCGGCTGGTCAAATCATTTTGTACCAACAAACTGCCAAATTGTTGTACGAAGCAAATATTGTCACATGTGACAGCTCTATATAGACGCCATCTTGGACTAAAAAAAGGTAACGGAGATATAAATTGCATAAATTTTTTGCGTTCTCAGCATAATCTCTACCAGCCGGAACTACATTGATGCCTACATGTACTTCAATCGTGGAGAAGGATTTTTTAATCTCTTGCTTTAATTGTGTTTATTTTGTTTCGGAAAATAATTGCGTTCGATCGATAAAACAGACGACTTTAGGATCACCTTAAAACGAAAATAAAAAATCATAAAAACAATATAAAAATAAATTCCTCCAAACATTCAGTATGTTCCATATTAACGTATTTACGTATGATTCATGTTAAACTATTAATGTACACACTCTACTCACCAATATATGTTCAATTAAAATATCTCATATAAACTATCTGTTAAAGAATTTAGGAATACATCCTCATCGGCAAGAAGTTACTCGATCTCTGATGTGTTCTGATTTTTATAAACTAAAGGTTGAACGTTAGAACAGTTAGAATGTTAGAAAGGTTGAACTGTTAGATACAGAAGATGAGTAGAAACTAACTTATTATCATTGATACTGACTTGGATATAGACTTGGATATGGACTTATCATTGATCACGCAACAGTCTAAAGTACATTATACAGAAACGTAGTAGTATACAGAATGTCCAGTAAATCACCTGCAATATTTCGAGAGATGATTCGGGACAAAAAGAAGGAAAAAAGATTATATAAACATAGGTCCGGAAATAAGTCGTTTTCGAGTTATAACCACTTTTATGTTAAAAAAATTGTAATTTATTTTTCATATTCATAATTATAATAACAATCATAATTTATAATAATGATCATAATTCATAATAATGATCATAAAGTCATAATAATTTCTTTTTTCCAGGATTCACCACATGGAAACATAATTCGCTTTGCATCCCTTTTTAAAATTTTTTTTTCAATTTCGTGATATTTATAATTACGATTATATCATTTTTAAAATAAAAGGTAAACATAAACAAATATTTAAATCAAATTAAATAAGATGTTAAAAGTGACCATCTTCAGCATAAATGCAGGCTCTTATTCTTCTAAGGAATTTCAAACTTTGAAAAATATTTGGATTGTTCCAAAATATTAAAATTAATATTCGATTAATCAAACTCGATTTAAATACCTGTTTACATTTATCCTTCACTCTAAAAATAATGTAATCATATTTACAAATATCGAAAAATTGAAAAAAAAATGAAAAATGAAAAAAATAAAAAAGAGGGATGCCAAACGGGCTAAGCCTCCACGTGGTGAATCCTGGGCAAAAAATGAATTATTATGACTAATTATGATTATTATTATAAATTATGATTGTTATTATAATTATGATTATAAAAAATAAATTACAATTTTTTCAACAAAGAAGTTGTTATAACTTGGATATGACTTATTTCCGGACCTATATTTATGTAACCTTTTTTCCTTCTTTTTAACTCTCAAATCACCTCCCGAAGCATTGCAGGCGATTTACTGGACACCCTGTATATAATCGCAACAATATATTCGATCATTGCTTATATAAGTCGTTAAGATCGTGTAGAACTTTACGATATTTCACTAGACATACGTCAATCGATTTTGAACTAGGAAACTAAATGTTTAATTATCACAATATCTACGTCTACTTGTAATAATAATAACTCGTTAATTGATTATCACAATTACTATTTCTGATAATGATAATCCTTACTCTAATAAAATTAATACTGCACTGTTATAATGTTTTGTATATATTTTTTTATTGTTATTATTATAATCTGTCGATAAACACAACTGTCAAAATAATACGGTGACAGTCGCTCATAAAATTAACGAAGTGAAAGAATCATACAGCGTCGTGCAAAAAGAGCTAACATTATTTTAAGACTCTAGAGAAGATTTTAATACATTTGAGTGTCGATTTAACTTTATTATTACCAAAAAAAGCGTTTTCATCGTACGGTCACCGTATAAATTTCGATTGCAACGACTATATAGACATAATCGATTGGGAAAACGTAAATTTGACCGAACTTGCTTTTTCGCGATCAATGTCAGACGATAAAATCCGAGGATACATGTTCGCAGATACTGCAATTAAAGATTTGGAAATACCCTGTCATATACAAGCAACGGAGTCACATTAAAATTGTCACCGAGACAGCATATCGCGTGTCCCCCAAGCAAACGCAAAGAAATGGCATTTACTATGATCGATCAATCTCGGCTTAAAAGGCCAAGAAGTGAAACAAAAAAAGATTTCCAGCAATAAATTATTTTTATAAAACAATTGTTATGTACCATAATAAACCGATGATTAATTACAAAAAGAAAAATGAAAAAAACGATGTTTTTTTATTTTTTAGGAGGGGTAGATTTTCATTTAAAAATTTCTGCTTGTCACCAAATTCGTCATTTTATATGCCTTTTCCGAAAATACATGCACAGCAGGGGGTAAGAAATTGCTTTATCCTAATGTATAATTATAGTTAATTATAGTAAACAATAAAAATGCAGTTAAATAGCGCGCGCGAAGAGCGCGTCTGTAGTGCTAGTAATTTTTAATTTGAAGGGAAAATATGTTCATACTAATTCATATTGATTTAATGTTTTACATTAATTTTTAGAAGTTTAGGAAATTGGATTTTATGCTCTCTTTTAACTATTTATAAATAAAAATTTCTTAGAATTTCTACATATATTGTTTAGATTATTTAGAGTCTAGACCGTGCACGTGTTTTTCTTGTAGCACCGTATTTAAACGCTATATATAACTTAAAAATTAATAAACATATCTATTCAAGTGTCAACTAAATATTAAAGAAAATTCAATATATGTATAATAAAATCTATAAAAATACGCAGAACAAAACATCATATAAAAATTGACTGCATAGGTAAAAAAAAGTCGCGCAAATAAAAGACCTCTTAATTATTAATGGAAAAAAAATTAAAAGTCGGAGTTATCTTCAATCTACCGTATTGCGATTTTTTCGTTGTTTTGTGTTAAAGTAATTATCCTGTTATCAGAATCGCGCCAACGAGAATTTCCCTCAAAATTTTTTATCGAAATGAAATTTTTTAATCTGCATATTCTATCGATTAAATTTCCTTCTGGGGAATTAGGATTTGGCGCGGTATTATACGCGCGCTTGGCACGATATATACATATATATTTATTAACTGCAACCATTTAACGCGTTATTAAGTTGTTGCAAGAGCGGTAATTCACTTTCTAACTTTAATTGCATCTAGTTATGATTGTAAACATACTTGGATGAGATCTGGCTGTTATATAAACTCTCTCTCTCTCTCTCTCTCTCTCTCTCTCTCTCTCTCTCTCTCTCTTCCTCCCTCTCTTTCTCTAACGCAACTTCTGACCTCAAAGAGCAGAATAGTCTCTCTCGTGTCATCATAATCTCTACACACCTAGCTAATAGCTTACAAATCATGGCTCTGACTCAGCGGTTGGTGCACATTGAGATGTACGTCATTTCCACGGTGTTCCCATTGCCGGGTAATAAATTTCCGTCATATTATCGTTGATAGCTTATTACATATCAGATCGTTTTCTAACTACATATTGCCAAAGTTTTATATAATTTTTTTATTATTTTTTAGCTGAAGATTTTCTCTTGTAATTAACTTGCGGAATTCAATAAAATTAGTTTACTAACAAGGGAACCTCGCGAAGTGTCAAATTCTGATTTTAATGAAACTTGGTACACTTTGAGGTCACATAAATAAATGAATTTAGAAGTTATCAGTTGGTGCTAAAAAACGGTTTATAAGGATGAA